CTAGTGACCCTTTCCAACTCTGACTCTATACAGTTTTGGCACATTTAATATACTCTTTGTAAACCCTTATCAGAAGCTACGTAGAGTCAAAAATTGTTAATACTTGGAAGTAAGACCACCAGGGCAATGTTGGCTATGTTTAGAGGAAAGCAGTGGCGAGCCATTTCACCCCATTCTTTGCCTGAAATTGATGGCCAAAGTATACAACAAAGTTCATAGATGACAAGTTGGAATGTGTCCAGAGGAGGGTGACTAATATGAAACCATACAGGTGGACCTAGTAGACAGTGTCTTTGATTGTGAAACTTCATCTTCCTGAAAAGTGCATTTAGCTCGTTTTTAATCCATGGCGTGGTTCTTTCACACCCTGATTCAATTTTTTTTTAAAGATTAGTATTTAAGCTATTTTAAATGCCATTTAATTCAAATTATTTTTCATTTATTTTGTTATTTTTCAAAAGTATTTTAAGTTAGTACTGCAAGAGAATGCATCTCTTGCCTTCAACACTGAAGCATAAGAAAATTCAACTCTGAGGAATGAAGATTGTTTCAATGAATGCAAAACCAAGTAAACTGTTTTCTTTAAGGTCTGAAAAGACTAAAGGTCATTTCTACCAGGGCCTGACGCACAGCTCTGGATATTAGTAGAAATATGATTTCTGACATACTTTTTTTGTACATTCTTAAGCAATGTTTGACATCTAAAGCAATGTTTGGAGATGAATAAATGATGGGAAGTCTAATCTGGACACAGTGCTCCATGCTCTTGTTATATTCTGAATAGATTATTGCAATGCACTCTACATGGGGTTGCCTTTGAAGACTGTTCGGAAACTCCAACTAGTCCAATGGTCAGCAGCCAGATTACTCACTGGAGCGACATACAAGGAGCATACCACCCCCCTGCTACGTCAGCTCCACTGGCTGCCGGTCCATTTCCAAGCACAATTCAAAGTGCTGGTCTTTCACCTATAAAGCCCTATATGGTTCCAGCCCAGTTTACTTGTCCAAACGTATCCCCCTCTATGATCCACCTCGGATCATCAGGGGAGGTCCTGCTCTTAATCTCGCCATCCTTGCAAGCGCGATTGTCGAGGACAAGAGACAGGACCTTCTCAGTGGTGGCCCCTTGTCTATGGAACACACTCCCCAGTAAAATCAGGATGACTCCCTCTCTCCTCCCCTTTAGAAAAAAGCTTAAATCTTGGCTTTGGGACCAAGCATTCAGGCAGCTGACCGAGCAGCAACTACAATGACTTATGAGAACTGTCAATGAATAGACCTTGGACTGGAACTCTGGATTATGATTTGGATTTGGGGACTTAGGTTCAGATATGCTTTAATACTTAACGCTCAATATTTTAATGTATTTTTTATAATTTTGTTGGTTTATTTAATGCTACTTGTTTGTACTGCGATGGTTTGTTCGTTGTCTTCTAACGATTGCCAGTTGTAAGCCGCCTTGTATCCCCCTTCGGGAGTTGAGAAGGATGGGATATAAATGTTTGAAATAAATACATAAATAATAAATTAAAATTCTTAGTTATGTTTTCACTGTTTTTAAACTAATTAGTTGCTACTTCATTGGCTTAATTAGATTCACATGTTTTATTTAATTATTTAAATGTATGAAGTAGTTATTGTAATTGTTGTAGATGTTTTATTCTTGGGATTATTCATTTATTTTGTATTGTTTTATGGCATTGAATATTTGTCATTCTTTGATGGAAACTGCTCTGAGTCCCTTTAGGGAGACAGGGCGGGTTACAATAAAGTTTTCCTGTTGTTGTTGTTGTTGTTATTATTATTTTACATTATTATCAAGCTTGCTTTTCTAATTGGCTGTAAGTGTATGCACATTTTCCATTCTTCAGTCAAATTCATAGATTATCTAATCCTGCTTCCTCCATTTTTCATGTCTATTGACCTTTTCATCTTTCCTGCTTTCTGCAACATGCTTTTTTAAATAACTACTTTATTGTTGACAATTATACCAGTCAAAGCCATAAATAGAAGTGACCAGATAAATTCAACAAGAAAATGGAATCTGACATGTTTCTTAAATAAATTACGTTTACTGTGGTTTCCACTACTGTATGAAGAACAAAACAGACTCACATGAATCTTTTTTTAAAACAAAGCAAAGTAGCGAGAGACCAAATATAAGTAAACATTCTAAGCTAAACTGTAGTAGTTTAAATACAATAATATACAGCAGGGGGCAGTAGGATTCCTTCCATTATAATTATTTCAATTCTTGAAATACTGAGGGCCTATCTTTCCACATCCTTGTAAATGGGATTTTTAAAATCCATCTAACAGAGTAGATGGTTCTGTCATTCTTTCCATTATGGGCTATCAGATAGGCTTACTGTTTCAGTTTGAACACACATATGATTGACAGAATGAAGGGAAGCTATGCCTGGAAATTTCAAAAAGAAAAAAAAACCATTCTGTTATTGGCCATGGAGAAACACACTGGAATGCATATTGAGAGATGATTTCAGTATGGGCATTATGCATTAAATTAGAAAGCATTCTTTGGATAGTCTGTTTATTCTGGTCTTTCTTTCAAAAGTATTTCTAAGCACACACTGTCTCCTTAGATGTTTTGAAAAAACATAAAGCCTTTACAGTGTGATAGCCATTGAAATTTATAACAAAAAGCAAAACTGACACAATAGAGCATGTAAACACCTTTCAATTTAAACCCATTTATTTTCATGTGAATAGTTTCAAGAGCTAATACTTAAGTATTTTCTAAAGTAATAGAAAAGAATAGCATCAAGCTTCTCAGAAATAGAGAAAAGGAAGGTGGTGGGGAGGAAGATTTTAAAAAACTAATATGTTTAAAGATTTGGCCCTTGTGACCCCCTACAGTGGCCTGGAATTTCAGCAGTTGTGATTATCCACAATAAATTTCAAAGCACAATAAAAAGTTTAAAAAGTAATATCTCTTTAATAGCAATATAGGGTGTATTCATTTCTATAACCAGACTGAATTGGCAGTGGTTGCCACCTTGGCACTCCACACAATCCTGTTTAAGGACACTTGACACTATGGACAAAGCCTACCATGATCAACAATGCTCTATACAGAGACAGAGCAGCCATCGCCATGATCACAAGTATTGTATAGTCATAGTTACAGCTCCCCACTAATTTAACTTGATTCACAATATGCATTCAGCTGATTAGCAGGTATCTAGCTAAACAGAAGAATTTGGCAACACATATTCACCCCATAGGATGGATAAAAAGTTAGTTTGAAAAACCTAACTGAAAATCCTAATGACGGTCCCATTAGTTAACATCATTGAAGATGAGTAAGAATGCAGTTATGGCAAAGAGCCAACAATACTACGCTAGCAAAAAGGTGTTAGGATCCAAACAACATCAACCTTAGGTGTACCGGAAATTCTTTCGTACTGTCCTCACCTCAATCTAACTTTGTGCTAGCACTGGGGCTGTGTCTGTGGGAGCAAAGACGTTTGGACCTTGCACAACCTGCTTCTTCCCTGCTCTTGCCCCATCCCATTTTTATTCTGTCAGCAGAATTTCAAAATCAAAACAGTTCTCTGAGAATAAGAGACTTGTACTTTATTAACCCAGCATATATTTTTAGTTAGGTTTACACTGAAACTAAAATCCATCTTTTTCACAGATACTCTTGAAAACTGTTTGATACTTACCAATCAATCAAAATAGTTTATTGTACAGGCCCAAGGCCATGACAAAAAGCACGACATGTGCACAATAGTACCCACGGAGCAACAGGCACCAAAGATGCTAAACAGAATTGAGTGTGGTCTGCTCCATGAGGTTACGACTTACCAGGAGTTCTAACATTCACATATGAAAATTGCTCTTTAATTATTTCATGCCCTTGAATTTGCATCTGAATAATAAACTCTCACTTAACAAAAGTATATAGGGTATTTGTGTCATGATACCAAACTCTAGAAATTTGGGTTAAAAAAAACTTCAAAAACCTGGGTGGCATCCAGGGCCGTAGCCAGAAAAAAAATTCGGGAGGGGTTGAACTTTTTGGAGGGGGGGGGGTTGAAACCTGCCTCCTAGCTCACGCTGAAGCAAAGAGCACAGCAGGGGGCAGAGTAACCTTCAATAGCCTGCAGCTCCGCCCCTGTCAACCACCTCCACCAAGTCTGGCCTCCTTAATGAGAGCATTCAACAATGCCCCCCCCCCCAACTTGGTTGCTTCACTACATTGGCTATTGCTGCAAGTAATGACAGTGTGAATAAATTGTCTTTCTGGCCTTTATGAATGCCTTGGTGAGGAAATGGGTCACAACAGCTCGGGGTGGCTGATCCCAAAACAGCACTGGTGTTTTCCACTCTCTTCAGAATTACCCTCAACTTACCCATAGGTGATATAAAAAATAAATACGTTGGTCCCAAAAACCTGCCTTTGGTTTATACATGAGGTTGACGTATACATTATATAATGTAAGTAGAATTATGAATTTATTCATAACGCTAACAAGCAAAATGGTCTGTCTGTGAGCTCTAGGGTACTGTTCAATCCCCATTCAAGTGTTCAGTAAATAGTCTCAGTGCCCCCCATTTGAAGATGTGACTGAAATAGATCCTCCTCATGGTTAACCAGAGAGTATATAGCCAATAGGCAGCTCTATACATGGCAGCTCTTTACATATACATTGTATTCTTACTCATGTGGAGTGCCTCCACAAATGTAGTATGATTACCTCCTTGGGGCCACATGTTGATTTTGCAGGAAGAAAGTGACAACAGAGAAAATTAATGAAGTGCACTCCCCTCTTTGTGTGTTATCACATATGTGAGTAGTGCTTGGATAACTAGAATTTCTGGTTCATATAAAGAAAGTATAGTTATGCTGTATATTCATCACCTTCTGATACACTTCTGGATCACACTATAGAAATCACATCTATTTTCCGCATAGATACAAAGCTAGAGTTCTCAAGTATTAATATACTTCAGAGAGGCAATTTATTTACCTGCTGCAAACAGCATGACAGCAACTGGTCTGTAGAACCGCCTTCGTGATCCCACACAGATAGAAATTAATCCAACCAAGAAGGCTATAAGAATTATAGCAGCACCTCCCAATAGCATAGAAAGTGTAGCAATCTGCCAGTCTGTAGAAAGAAAAGAAGAAACAAATAGTTGAAGCTAACTTACCACAATGGATGCCTATGCAAAAAGTGAAAGATAAATGAGGCCACTAGTAAATTCTATCAGATTGTTTTAATATCTTACCCCTGAGTGAGTTTTCATCAGATGAAGATGAAATCAATATATTTTATTAGCAATTTTCTTAATCTATGTACCAGTTAAAAGCCTGCATCAGATCTAATCTGAACTTGATCACTCCTAATTAGCACTTAGTCACATGGTCACTCCTGGTTAGCACTTGGATCAGAGACCACCATCGACTACAAAAATGTGCCAGCTACACTTCTGTAGCTGGCACATTCTGTAGCTGGCCATCTGTACCTTCAAAGAAATTCATAAAAGCACCTCCTGCTAAAGAAAGTGAAATTCATGGATGTTGACAAATTCACCAAATGAGTTGAAGGAGTTGCCTGAAAGGCTGAGAAGGGTGGTATACAAATATAGTAAATAAATATCTTAACACAAATACACTTCTGGATAGACAATACAACCCTTGAGAAGGATATCACACAGAATTCAATGCTTTTTACACCCGGGAAAGTCTGCATAGGAATAGGTTTACTTTGAAGGGATTAATATAAATGGGTATGGCAAATTTTACTTGGAAAACCCATTGTAAAATTAACAAGAAGAGCTATTGGCACATGGATAAGCTTGTGCTTCAACAGTTAGTCATCCTTTAACCTTAAGGGACAAATATATCCTAAATCCATTTGAAAGAGGAATGAAACATGAGGATGCCAAGAAGAATTACATTTCTCCATGTCCATTTCAAAGATATCTGTTCAGGCTCCAATCCTACAATCCAAGCTCCTGCCTTGAGCCAAAAAATAGACTAGTCAATTGACTGTAAGATTTATCACAGGGGAATTAAATCCAGTTGCCAAGGTTGATTTTGGCTTGTAGGACATGTGTAAACCAAAGGATAAGCAATGAAGCAGTGCACATAAATGGAGGAAGGTGAAGCTAAGAGCCAAATGTATCTCCTCCCTTCTTTCCATCTGTACCTTCAAAGAATCTCTAACACACCTATGGGTATTTTTTTAAAAAAAATGTTATGTAAAAATATGTCCATGTTCTAATAAAAGATTTATTATCGTTTAGGAGTATTTTCCTTAATATATGCATAGTTAAAAAAGCATCAAAATGATGAATAATTTTGTCGTTCAGGGAATTTTCTGTCACATTTTTGCATCCAGTTTGGTGTCATTATATATTATATATTTTATGTAAGTCTCAGAACCTAAAATGATAACGAAAAAGCTAATGATTTCAGATATATATAGTCACACATCCCACATTAGGAATTAAAACAACTGCTCTTTTTTGGATTTGCTGGAGGTGCTTCATCACTTCTGTTCTAGAACTGTTCTGTATTTGTGTGTGTGTGTGATGCCTTATAAGTGCACTTCCAGCATTTATCATGATTCATCTACTGATCAGTACCAAAATGGGAACAATAAAAGTGACTTGTTCCTGTGAGAGGAATACCAATTCAGACTACAAAGTAACAGGCTTTGTGGTGAAACAGAAGTTTCCTAACTTAGTTTGTGTGCTCTCTAGTCACAAAGTGATATTAATTTTAAAACAAGACTTCTAGGCAAAAGAAATAGGACATTATGTTACATAATTGATGGCATAAAACCAGGTTGAATCTAATATACCAAATAATTTTGAGATGATATTTTCAAAGTCAATTTAATGAGTGTGGTGGGTTAAAATCCCCCAGCTAATTTAGAATATCTTAATGCTGGACTTCTGAAGGCTCTTGAAGCTAATAAAATCTAGCAAGAGCTGTGGTGGAACAGCTCCTAAATAAAATGTACAGAGCCTGATGCATGTGTATACTATTTATTAAACTCCATTTGTTAAAAATACACTAAACCAACATTTAAACAACAGGCTGTAAAACAGTGTGATCAACTTTCAAAATATGGTAGTGGAAGCTAGGTTAAACTGAATTTGGGACCCATCTACACTGCCACATAATTGTAAAACTGCATTATATGGCAGTATAGATGGGGCCCTAGTTAGGGTCTCCTTTCACACTCATGAGAGTATTCATCCTCCATGAATATGGGGGAGTATGTGATATTTGGATACTTTAAGTGGCAGAGGGTATATTTTAATAATTTTAGAGGGTGTCACATATAAGTATCTTACCTTTTACTGAAAAAGAAGTACCATTCCAAAAAGCAGCTTACCTGCATTTTTGAGGCAGGTATGCTGTGTTATTATTTAAATCACATTTTAAATTACTACTTTTTGCTGATTGTTTGCTGAATTTTTTAAAAAATGTATACTTTATATCATTTAAATATCATTTTTCTACTTATACTTTTCTAGCTATACTACATTGGGTTCTATAGTAAGGTAAAGGTGGGAATGCAAGGGAATAGGTGGAAATGAACAAAAAGTGATACTACTTCATGGCATTCCATCAGTCTCAGAGCAGAAATAGGGAGAAAGCAGGCTGACTTCACTGTGAGGATGAGAGCAACCTCCCTCCCTTCACCCCAAGGAATATTTCTGGAAATGTGGCTGTATCATTACGTGGCCTGGTTCTAGGGATATTCTGTCCCAGGAATATGGCCAAAGAGCTAAGCTGTCATTTGAAATGAAAACAATGCTTTTGATTTTGTTTGGTAGAAGAGAAAAAAATGGCCTTGAATACAGTTAAAAGTTTGAACATCCAAGCAAAGAATTCTTAACATTAGTCCACTTTTGGGAGGTATTTTCAACACCTGCAATAATTTCTGGGATGAATTCTTTGGCATAGCACTATTTATACAAAATCAAACATTAAATTTCCCCAAATAATTAGGCAAACAAAAGCTTTGAAAAACACCCTGACATTAGGAAATTTCTCTGTGAAGATAAGAAGTGACACCTCGAAACTGCTAGGCCATTAAATGCTAATCAATGTGACCAATTGAAACATTCACACCTACCTCCAACAAACAAGAGTTCTTTCTCCCACCTTGGACATTCTACAAATATATAATCCCCGTTTTCTTAGTTTCCAACAGACCTCACAACCTCTGAGGATGCCTGCCATAGATGCAGGCAAAACGTCAGGAGAGAATGCTTCTGGAACATGGCCATACAGCCCAAAAAACTTACAACAATCCTGACAATGTGTTTATTTATTATCATTTATTTAAAAGTTTTGTATACCGGCCTTCTCACCTCTCTTGAGGGACTCAGACCGGTTTCCAACCATAATATCACATACAATATCACATGTTTGCTGCAATTGGTCAGTGTTTCAGCATTGCACTATGATGTAAACAAGTTGATAACCATGACTTCAGCTATAATTCAGTAACACAAATCTCATTATGCTGAAATGAACGCAAGATTAGATGTGTCCACTGTAACACAGGTCCCAAATTCAGTTTTTGAAAATACATAAAATTACTGCAAAATTATTATTTTAGTATGACTACATTTATTTTCCAAATTTGACACATCAGTATAAAGAATAATGCTTGTTATTCAAATACCTAATTCATTTATTTTTCTTTTACACCTTTTTTATTACAAATTTCAGAAGTATACTTATGTTTGTCATTGGACAACTTGAAACAAATAATCCTACAGGGATATTTTAGAAACAGTATTACAGGTGTTGATGACATTACACTTGGATTACTTAAATGCTTTCTAGGAAATACTGTTTGCTATCTACATGAAGCCTCTGGGGGTGATCATAAAAGCATTTGGTGAGATGCCTTTAGTATGCCTATGACACCTTGCTCTATTTCTCCTTGTCACTGGAATCAGCTGGGATTCCATCAAGAACCTATCCGAATCCAGCTGGAATCAGCTGGGATTGTGCAGTACCTGGATGCTGCAATGGGCTGGATGAGGGCCAATAAACTAAATCCCAGTAAGAGGCTCTGTGAATTGGTAATTCTGGGGTCTGCGAATTGGATAAACAGCCTACCTTTAGGTAGGTTGCACTTCCCCTGAAGGAACAGCTTGGGAGTGTTCCTAGATCCATCTGGAACACTTTACCCCTAGAAGCATTGGTCATGGTCAGATCATTTCCTGGTCAAGTTTATACTCACTGGGACCCCTTCCCTCTACAGAGGTGGCAGACCCACTAAAATGAGACACCCCATGAGACTTATGGATTCGGATGGGTTCTTGATGTCTTTTGGGGAGTTTCCGGCTACCAGGGTAGGTGATCCTATTGATGCCCTGGTCAAGCTTTGGAATACGGAGGCAGCTAAGGCGATCAATAGGATCACTCTGAAACATCGCCTTTTGAGATGCAGGGCTAAATCAGCCCCTTGGTTATCCAAGGAGCTATTAGCAATGAAACAGATGGGAAGGAAGTAAGTCCACCTACCCCACACCGCAGATGGGAAGAAAATTAGTCCATCTACCCCACACCGCAGATGGGAAGGAAATTAGTCCACCTACCCCACACCACAGATCACTCTGAGGACTTTGCTTGTCACTTCGCAAATAGGATCAGTCAGATTCAGGATGATTTGGATGCCATTATTTTGGAAGTTCTGGTGGATGTAGCCAGTACACGGTCTTGTCCAGTTTTACTGGATTTATTTCAGTTGGTCCAGCCTGATGATGCTGACAAAATCTGGGGGGAAGTGAAGGCCACCACCTGCAAATTGGATCCTTGTCCATCCTGGATGGTAAAGCAGGCCAGGGATATGGCCTAGATAAGGGAACTGGTCAACACCTCATTAAATCAAGGAGAGTTCCCCATGGCCTTGAAAGCAATTGTGGTAAGACCACTTTTGAAAAAGCCATCAATTGATCCCACAAATTCAGGCAGCTATTGGCCAGTTTCAAATTTGCCTTTTATCAGTAAGATTTTGGCACAAGTGGTAGCCAATCAATTCCAAAGATTTTTGGAGGATGCTGATTTTCTAGATCCATTTCAACACAGCTCCAGACCAGAGCATAGGAAGGAAATGGGTTTGGTCGCCTT